TATTACATCGAGCCAACTGTTTTTGCTTACTTTATTCATAACTTGCAGGCCAGTAATATTAGTAAATTTGAATTCAGCTGGAAAAACATTTTAAATTACACGTGTTATTCAAGGTGCTTGCATTACACAATTAATATATTGTCTAAATTCCTCGCTCTCTACACACAATAAAAGATTTCGCGTCTTGTAATATGAATTTCTATCCACAAAGAACCAAATATAGTTATTACATTTTAATTAGTTCATTATGATTATATTTCAAATACCAAAAAAAACAAAATGAACTGCAATTAAATTTCACTTTTTGATAAACCGATCTAAACTGAGCTGTTTCATTTAGTTGTTGTTGATGACGTTTAACAAATATGATTTCTTTTTTCTTTCGACTACTGTTTTCTTTTGATTATATCTTTGTTCTTTCATGATCGTCTTCGAATTCCAATTGATGATATAGAATATTCGAATTTTCATCATCACAAAGGAGTGTACAATATTGTCCCTTTAAATTTTATGTATTCGCTAAATGCATATTACTATTGATACAAATAAAGTTTGATATCAATCGTTCTCTCCTTCTTGCATCATTAATAGTTCTCTCATTTTCACTCTAGTTGAAAATAGGTTTTTTTCTTCTTCCAAAAAAAAAAAATTTCCGTTACACATATGTAACATGGAGATACGGGTCCATGTTTTTGTGGACCCAGACTCGGCACCCTGTGTGTACATGAACAATTGAAGGATCAAGGTATTATCTATTTATTGGCTATTCTCAGATAAAAGAGTCAATGTACAGTTATTTCTTGTTATTTTGCTTCCTCATAACTCGATGCTTAATAAATTAAAAGCTTTCTCTTAGTTAGAAAGAGTATTGTTTTAATTAAAAATGAAATTGAATGTTGATATAAACGATATCAAGCAAAAGCTATTACTTTGTCTTCTATTTTTTTGTAACTTTTATTCTTCAATAAACATGAATAATTCAACGACAAGAAAAGTAAAAAAATGATTTAGACAAGGGATTTTTTTCAAAAGATCTGAGTCTTTTATTATGAATTTTACATTCGTCCTCCGCAAGCGGATCTTCTAATATGTGAGGGTTTATCATATATTTGTTAGTGTTCAGTTAGTTGAACTATATCAGATTCAGTTGAAAGCAACATTTTTCCTAATTTTTGAATGAGAAAAAAAAATTTCAATGTGACTTGTGAATTTAATACGAACATTTATGTATCCTTGTTTTATATAATTGGCTAGTAAAATATTTTGATTGATCATTTGAAATATTCCTTAACAAATTGGTAGTAAACGACATGTCATTTGATTGATAATATTCGTGGAATTTAAGGAAATCAAATTCGATACTTAAAAAATAAGAAATAATAAAACTAAACAAGATTTCGATATTTGATGAAGAAAATTTTTGTTCAGTTGTTTGGTTATTATATGATTTTTATTAAAGTGACAATGATTACATTGATGAAAGGGTGTGCGTATGCATGTTTTGTTTTTGTACACACCTTCAAAATTGTACCAAACCGTCATCTGAACATTATAAAGATTTCTCAAAAGTTGTTTAAAGTTATGAAATGGCAAATATCTAGAAAATCTAAATAGGGTTTTCGTTGAGTCTATGCCTATTTTCAAATTGAATCTACCATCATAGGATGAATTGTTAGAATAATGACCTAATATACATTTCTTTGTCGATAGCTTTTAGGTTTCAAAATTCGACCAAAACCTCATAAAACTATTATCAAAATGTTGATCTTAATATACACTTTTCATTGATATATGATTCAATGAAGTTGATCAAGAAAAATACTAGTGGACCGATTTGACCTCTTAGGCACACCCTCCTCCTCTCTTCGTGTCACACTCGAACTCATCTTCGAAAACGTTCGTTTACTCGTCTTTATTGTATTTCAAGTGTTGATTCGTACACCGGTTCTTTTCATAAACCAACAAAGTTTTGGTAATAAATCGAAACTAAATGAAAATATTTTCTTTCTCTTTATGCGATTGACATTATTGTTTGAAAACAATGTATGATCTGAAAAAAAAACATAAATTTTAATTTCAACAAAACACATATATATACATATTTGCTTTTGAAAAAAGTCCACAAAAATCGGAATGCATGAGTATGATAAAAAAATATTATTTTCCGGAATATCAAAATTTTCTTTTTTCTTAGATGCAACTTTCTCTTCTCTGTGTTTAGAGGTGTAAGCCGTGCGGCTGAGCCGCCGTCGCCGCCGATAAACTCGAAAAATTTTAAGCCGCCGCCACCATGACAGTAGAAATTTTAGAAATTTTTAAGCCGTCGCCGCTGAGGCACTTTAATTACAGCCGCCGCGCCGCCGATAGTATTCGAAATTTTAAAATTATCGAGCCGCCGCCGCCGGCAACTATTGTAAATATCGATAACATTTCATTTATATTTTCCTTAATTCGATACTTTTACATCTTAGAACCCCAATATGTCTCTTTTTCATTAACTTTCTCGCCTTCACCTTCATTTTCATGCTGGTTCTCTGACCAATCAGATGCTTGGGGTTCTAAATTGTGAATGAACCCTTAATTCTGTGTTGGTTGAAAATTCTAAGTTATCATTTTAGTTTATGTCTCTTATATTAGATATATTTAGAAATACAAGAAGAGACGAGCATTTTAAATTTTAATTAACAAAAACAAAATAAAAACAACAAACTTGAGTATGCTAAGTGCTTTTACTTATTAACAATCGTGGTGGTGATTTCTCATTTATTATTTATCCTGGCAATTATATTTATTTTTAATTATAGACTTTTTTATTATGTCTAGATGTGAAATAAAGTTTTTCCACATATGTGTTTGAAAATAAAGAGGCCAAGGTATTGAAATAGGCCTTGTCTACACTAAAAATTTTGACGCTGAATTAAGAAACATGATTGGTTGAACAGTTAGTAAATATTTAAAACACTTTTAAAAAGTGCATTAAATTTATTGCACATTTCAGAACAACATTAAATTTGATGCACCAATCAATGTCTGATTCGATTTTCTAATGAGACTGACACAGTTTTCAATGGACGAGTCCTCTATGATTGAAGTGAACAAAAACCACGATTCATTTCGACGTCTAGGATTCTGATTGATGCATTAACTGTCAAATGTAGACACGAATTGATGTAACACGAATTTGATACTACATTATATTCCTAGTGTAGACAAGGCCATAGACTAATATTTTTATGATAATGTAGTACTTTTTAAACTTTAAGCCGCCGCCGCTGAGACACTTTAATTACCGCCGCCGCGCCGCCGATGGTATTCGAAATTTTAAAATTTTCGAGCCGCCGCCGCTGTGCAACCTTAGAATATCATATCTGCGCCGCCGAGCATTTTTAAAAAATTTTAAAAAACTGGCGCCGCCGCCGATCAGCCTATCGGCTTACACCTCTATCTGTGTTGATGTTTCTTGGATAGTATCATTGCTTGATGTCTAAAAACATGATAATATAGTGAATAGAGTTAATAGTTGAATGTGAAAGTATAATACCATTGAAAATTTTGGAAATTCAATGTGTTCTGAGTTTAACGGCTGCAACACTATTGTATCTTCAATATTTTAGCGTTGTTCAATAATTTGATCATTTATCTCAAGATTTATATTTCAGTTACTGAGCAGTTTTGCCATCTGTCGTATTTTGCGTCAAGGGAAAAAAATCAAACAATTGTAGCATAAACTAGAAAATTAGTGACAAATACCAAATAATCGCTTTATTTCATTTCCTTCATATTTTTGTTCTATTCATTCATATTTATATACCATATCTAACGCACGAGAAACTCTAGCCAGTAGCGACGAAAAAAACACCTTAAATTCTCCTTATCATTTGATACTACTCTGCTCCTGTGTTCTGTTCGGTAGAGATAATAAAACACATGTTGGTGTAATAGCGTAATTGTTTCGAATAGTGACAACCACTTCACCTAATCGAATAGCTTAAGTCGTGGAGCGCATCAATAACAACACAAATCCTTATATATTAATATGCACTAAGGTTTGCCCCTATTTCGGTTATTTCATTGTCTTACTTTATCTTAATCTACATTTGTCTTTTTCGTTTGCCCTCTAATTACACACCTGTTGATGTTTTCGTGCCACAAAACTAACCGATTGATCAATATGTGACAAATAATCTTCCTTCAAAAGTATGCTATCTTTTTTTTTCAATAATTCATTCATAGAGACCTATCTTTTTGATAAACCCAATCTATTGATTAACACACGATCACGGGTCATTCGCTTACAAAGACCAATAGACTGGTTTAGTTTTTCTAAAACATCGAACATATTTGTAAGAATGATTCCATACTCTTTTTCATTTATCCTTGATCCATTTTAATATTGTCACCGATTGTTATTGCTAGTATCATTCTGAATATCTTTGTTTGCATCGTTTCCTGTACTATTTGGTGAGACATTCGGCCTTGTTCACATCTTTTTTGACAATAACCTATTTCGCTCTTCTGAGTCTGACTTCAATTCTCTTTTATCCAACTCTTCTGAAATGTGATGATCTGTTAGAAATCTTCAATCTCATTCTATAAAATTGTTCGCAACTTCTTTTTCTCTTCTTTACTGAAAATTTATCGACCATATTGCTTTTCCTTGCCATCAAACATTGAAGTTTCATCAATTATCATTTTTTCTCAAAAACCATTCGAGAAATTTCATTTCCTAATGTTGACCATTATCATAATTATTTTTATTATTCAGATCACATTCTATTTTCTTTTCTTTACTAGTGGTTCTCTACATCGTAGAGTATTGTATGCAATTAGAGTTAGTATATATGTGAGTGAAAAGAATAATAATATTCACATCTTGACTCTTTCAACCATTTGACAGAAAATTTTCTTTTAGAATCAAGAGACGTGAATAGATATTAAGAATGAGAGATAACATCTTCTAACTAAATGTTGATTTTATTGATAACATAGTTGTGTTCTAGATGAATACATCTGTTACTCCATCAATTATCATTCGTAGCTATCAGCCATCGGATTTATCTGCATGCCAAGCTCTGATGTTAGATGGCCATAAGGAATATGATAATGGCATGGCATATTACATGCATGTCTTTCAAACAGATATGGCAGATATTGAGAAGAATTATCTTCAAGTGCCGAATGCTCATTGGTGGGTTGCTGTGTCAACCGATGACAATCGTATCGTAGGTCAAGTAGCAGTGCAACCACTACGTCTCGGCAGTCCGATTTACTATGAGACATTGCCATTGGAAGAGAGAGATCACATCTGTGAGTTGCGACGAATGAGTGTGGTTCCCGATGTTCAAAGACATGGTATCGGTTTTCGTCTATTAGTAACTTTATTGGATTTTGCGCGACAACATGGCTATCGACAAGTACATTTGACTACATTAGCCAGCATGAGCAAAGCTTGTGCATTCTATCAAAAACATGGTTTTGTGCAAGGTGAAATTCATCGCGTGTCAAATGATGAATCGAACCTTGAAAAACCTACACAACACAAAGAACATGTCTGGAAAAGTCTTTCAAACCGGTTTATTTTCAAGCCTGGAGATATTATACCTGAAGAAGATCAACAACGCATGAAATTACCACCAACGCAATCGAAATATGAATATTTGCAACACTTCTTTCTTACATTGTAAGGGGACCAATAGCTGATATTTCTGTTATATTGATTTCAATTTGTATTGGAAAGAAATGGGAAAAATTATTCAATAAAATGATTCGTTTTGATAATTAAATTAATTCTTGAAAGCTGAATGTCTCTTTCAAGAAACATTCCGATAATTGTAATAAAAACTGCGTAAAAAACTTATTTTAAAAGACCAATATTTTTCTGTAATAAGTTAGCCTTGTAGATTATAGAGAGGAAAAATCATTCTTAAGTAACTGTGAGACGCAATAATGGATTTTTTAAATAGCATTTTGTATTTTCAAAGTTTTATTTATTCATAAATACAACGTGAAGCTTTGTCTTTTAGAGCCACATTGCTAAGCATAACATCAAGTTATCTGATGAAGCCATCTTGTAAACTTTGAACCGATCAATTGATACACAATGACATCATAGAGCAAACGTGTCTTAAAGGAGATGTTGAATCATAATGACCTAGAATACTCTATCATCCGATGAAGACTGCACCAAGTGTTATCACCAAACAGCATACACATAAATATGTTATCTTTAGATTTGAGTGTAAAGCTCACAAAAGTTCAACCAGTATTAACATACTTTAATGAACAATGAAAATAACTATTGAATTAGAAGAAATCTTTCTATAGATGAACCGATGATAGCGCATAAGAGAACAACAGCACTAACATCTTTTAAACAATATATGCCAAAAAGGTCTACAAAGCCAGGTTTTAAAATCTGGACTAGATGTGGAGCTTCGGCTTTTGTATATGAAATGATCTTATGCATGGCGCATTAAAAGTTGTTTTGAATGAACCATCATTACCTGATTTATCATTAAAACGTACTTCAGGTAGAACAACAAGAACAACGCCGAAAGATATGGAATTAATGGATACTCATCATGAAACATTCCTTAAAGAATATAGTGCTTCAGAAATGGTAGTGCTAGATTCAATTGAAAATGTTTCTGTTAATTCTTCGATACTTATAGATAATTACTTTGCATCTACTAAACTAATACTAAAACCAACTTAACTTGGATATTGAATTACTGGTACACTACGGTCTAATCGATTACAAAAATGTCCAATACCAACTAAAAAGAAACAGTTCGAAAAAAAGACAGGTGATTATGAATAACATATATATAAGATAAAAATACATGCGTAATGATTGCTTGGGAAGATTTGAAGAGGGCTTTAGTAAGTTCAAATAATTTCGATAAAGAACTAGAAACAACAGTGCAATGTTGATGCTGCAGCATCTCAAATCATTAATCAGTACAACAGATTTATGGGAGATGTTGACACATTGGATAGGCTAGTAGCTGTGCATCCATTTTCATCAAATCCAAATGCTGATATATAGTGATTATATGAGAATATTCGATTTGCTGGTTATCATTTCTTGGGTTGTCTTGAATTCTCATCGTTGTAGTAATAATTATGGTACAGCAAGTTATGATTGTCGCAGATTATTTCATTTGGAATCCGAAATAGGAAAATATCTATTACAAAAATCAAAGATTTAACAATTGCAATTAGCTTCAGTTAACTTAACACCAGGTAAAAGATGAAAATGATGAAGAAAATAAATCACTAACAAAAAGGTTCGTGAAATAGCATTGATGTGAGCACGAAAACTGTTTTGAGAAGACATATTGGAAGTGTTTAAAATACAATGTGCATTTATGCCTTAACTCAAGTAAAAATTGTTTCACTCAATATCATGCTGGCAAATAACTAAATTTAATATAGATATGAATATTTCTTGTTTAACATATGTATCTTGATTTTCTACTATTAATAAAACTATTAAAAACATTACTTTCTATTGATATATTTTGCATAAGAAAAAATGAATAAAGGTACTCACATGGAAAAGTCTTTTCTTGCATAAACTAGGGAAAGTGAAAATTTAGCCTGTTAAGAGCAATTATTTCTTCGAAGGAATATTCTTGGTCTCAATAAAAAAACGACATTTTTTTTCTAAATTATAATAAGATCATACTAAGGTTTGAGAGTGTCCATTTTATTAACCAGGTTTTTTTTCTCATTGCCAAGAAGAACCCTTAGCTTTTAAGGATTAAAATCTATGTCTAAGTTAAGATATTACAACTAATTCGATGATAGATTGCTGGATATCTTCTTAGTCTATATTAGAAGTTCTTTGAATTGTGCTATATTATTAAATAATATTTTTAGTTGACAAATAGATAATAGAACCCATGGTTTCAGTAATAAATAGTTTTTTTTATATACATCGATAGTTATTCTTCTAATTTGGAGGTACAAGAACATGATCGTTATCATCGAAAAGGAAGGCAGATAATATATGAGTAAATTGCAACTTTTTGATACGAATGATATGAAAAATTGAAAGTGAAGATAGACAACTTCTAAGTAGTACGTTTTGTTATACTCTATGTTAGTATTATAGAGCAAACGTTTCCCAACACTTTGCTGCATATTTGCCGAGATATAGCATAGACACTGTGATTTAATACAAAAATCATCAATATCTCACTGAAATTCTTTGTAGTAAAAAGTGTTTATTTAATTTAAAATTTATATTTGCAATAAAAATCGGATAACTTTCCGCAATGAGGCGAATCAAATGATATAAAATACTACTCATTCTGACCCAATTTTAATTGAAATATTACATAGAAAAGGTCGTTCTAAATTTTTTTTCAAACAAAGGTTCTTCTACATTTCTTTATATATTGTAAACATCTTGAGAACGATGAGAGGCAAATTGCTGAAATTTTAACCACTTGTGTAACTTTTAGAACAAGTAACGCTCGTCCGTGTGATTCGCTTGACCCTCGACTGAATATTCGACTCTTTTGGTGTTATATATTGCTTCACATTCTTCAACAAAGCTAGTATCCAATGTTTCAAAAGGATGAATCGGTGTGTGGACATTGAAATTAGCGCCAATCTCATTTTGTACAATGATATACAGGTCCGTGTGATCATTTTTGTCATAAATTTATCTAATCAAATTGATACCCACACATGGATACCCAACAGGAATCTAAATGAACTACACTGCGGCGGCCGTATCCGTAAGTCCCCGAAGAAAAAGAGATTATATTCAACTTATTGAGAGCCCACAAAGCAAAACGCATTCGCGACACCATTGTGAAAACACGCCGTGCTCCTTGAAAATTCTACTAAAAAGCCGTATGCTTACCAGCACATCTGCCGATAATATTTATCCGATGAATCCCAACCGTCTGGAGCTTTCCTTCAGGAAATTTTTCACTGCAGCGGCTAGCCACTGCTTTGTTTCATTCTATTCCTCCGTAAGACTACCCTTTATATTTAGATTCCACCTAAATCCAGGCTCGGCTTACTTCGAAAAATCATTAAATCTCTAGCACGAGAATTGTCGACGAAAGTTTCTAAATCGAAGTTTTGTTGTGAACTTTTCCTGATTTCTTCAGTTTCATTGAAATTCCTTATTAAAGAAACACCGGTGGAGCTTTCTCAGAAAAAATCTAGCTTTTACATGGATTCTTTGTGAGGTGAATCTGCAGTGTGCTTGCAATATGAGCGACTAGTCGTTCGTCGGTGCCTCTCTGGGGCGCCACTGACGGCTAGTCGCTCCTTTGTAAATCAGTGCACTTAAGCAATAGTTGTTTATTGTCCATTTAACAGAGAAGATATGACCTCATTTACATATAACTTTTTACATTACGTTCTTCAAGTTATAGCCGGCTAGAAATTCCACGAGTCAGAACTCCTGAAAACATATACAAGGTTAAAAATATAGTTTTTTGATGATAATAATAATACATTACAATTTATTGTCACATATCAGTTTAAGACCCTCGTCTATCTATAGATTGCGTTAGATAATAGGTTTGACCATATGAAAAAATTTGGGTGAATACGCTGGCAAAGTCGATCCTATTTGAAAATTATAAGAAAACCGAGCTAATTTGTATCTCTTTTCTCCATCATTTTAAAAGACACTGGTACTATTGGTTCTGCATAGATAGCTTTTACGATGCCTTTAGAAGCTACAACGATATGAAGATATGGAATGCTTGGGCAACGCTTCATAATAAAATCCCAATGGTATTTCTATACCAAACATATAGGATTTCAAGGTGTGAATCACTTTGATCTCTTGGAGATTTAAAAGGTACCGTCAAAGCATTCCAAATCTCCATATCTTTGTAGCTTTTGAAGGCATAATAAGACCTATCTATGCAGAACCAATAGCGCCGGTGTCTTTTGAAATGATAGAGATCGAAGTAATTTATCCTGTGAAATCCTATATATTTAATAGAGAAGTCGCATTGGTTTTATCAAAAGCTACTGCCCAAGCATTTCAAATCCTCATGTCTGTGCAATTTTTTAGAGCATACTAAGAGCTATCTATGCAAAAAAATGGCTCCGATCTGTGCTCGAATAATAGAGAAAACAGGTTCAAAGTAGCGGGATTGTCTTATAATTTTTAAATAGGATCAAACTTGGGTGTGAGTGTGGATGCGCAGAAGATACATATCCACACCCACACCATACTCGTAAGAACCCATGATTTATCAGCAGTAGTGCTTACAACTATCGGTGCCAACTATACACGCTTGTAGAGAGTATTTTTTATCCAAAATTGAATTTTTCATTAAAAAGAATTTCAATTAGTCGAGAAAAAAACACAGTTTCAGAATATATTTTAAGTCCACTATCTCAAAAACGTATTTTTTCGACTGCCTTTGACACCATATGTCGTGATGTCTTTTAAGTTGCAATGAATCAAGCATATTCACAACATCACTTACAGTTGCCATCTTGTTTTTCGTGTCATTTCTGTCCTCCTTTTTTTTTTTACTTATTTCTTTGTTCATGTGAAGATGATACGAAATATATGCAGCAAAGATATAAAATTCAATTGAAAATTGCTTACATAGAATGATACAAAATACATTAGATCCTTACAGAATCAATAAGACCTGACAAATTTGTCTAGTTTACCAGTCAGAAAAATTGAAAGAATCCTGATGACTCTTTCAAACAATCTCATGACTAATGTTGTTGCTTTTCTACCTTACTGTTCTCTATACTCCTGTGTAATTTCATCGGGTAGTAGAAACTCACTGTTATTCATCATGTGACAACGGCAACACAGTGAAAGAGTGAAGGTAAACATCAAGCGAAAGGGCAACACTTGAGAAACAGCGTCAGTTGAAAAAAACCCAGCAACTTTCATTCAGCAATTCATACGAAATACACTTAATCATATTATACCAAAACGATCATCAAACATTGAAGACGTAATTTGAGCGTAAGTACATTGTCGACATCATTCGGTTTTTCTTCACTGTATTACCACAGATAGATGATATCCACACATTTTTCGAGAGAAAGAGTAATGATGACTGAATTCATCAATGTAGACGATGAAAAATAGTATAAAAGGGTGTGAATGTGGGTCTTTTTCTTTCACACATTCACATTCACATTCACATTCACATCCCATCAACCGCTACACACGCTCGCACATTCATATCTAGGTTCAAACATCGCCGGAACCTGACTGGATCAGTGCTGGTCTCTGAATTTGCTTAAACATCGAACTTATTAGGGGTCCCAAAAATTCTGTCGTTGTAACCTTTAATTCTTGTATCTTGAATATTGCTACTGTAGGGTACACGCATAGCTGTGAATGACATCATTTCGATTATTATCTGATGAGATTTTCAGGGAATCTTCCGATTATGCTTGTGAGATACTTGCAGGTTTTGTTATGCTTGCATAGTCAAAGTTTACTTTTTTGAACTGACTATTGAAAAATTCTAACCGTGATTTCTATAGATATCAGTGACATACACAAAGGTTTACTGGTTAGTTGGGGAGGAGATAGTAAGAGTATTTATAAAATGCTGATCCGAAAAACCTGAAGTATCTGAAGTCTTCCAGGAGAGACTTTTTCTGCAATGAGATGGTCTGAGTAGTCTGGACTTTCCACTTTGTTGTACCATTGCTAGATATTTAGAGGATCTACAAAAATATTTATAGAGC